TTCCCTCTTTTCTTTTTGAAACTCAGATTGGCTTGTTTTAGAAGAAATATATAGGCAGGGTCATGATCCCACAATTCATAAGTTTGAGTCTGAAGTTGGGCTCTTCACTGACAGCGAGGAACCTGCTTGGGATTCTCTCTCCCTCCCTCTCTCTCTGTCCTTCCCCCACTCTCTCTCTCTCTCTCTCTCTCAAGGTAAATAAAGAAACTTTAGATGAAATACACAGGCTTCAGAACTGGTCACCTAGCGGGGAGCTGGACAGCATGAGTATTTGGTCCTGTGCATGGGTGAGGGACAGCTTAACAGGACCTCAGATACAAGGAGTCGGTCTATGGCAGGTGTTACCTTCCTGGGCAGGCTGGGTTGTGGCCAGGAGGGCTGCTGCAGGGAGCCTGGGTTCCTGAGTCGACCTTCAACTTCTGCTTCTCTGTACGGTGATGCTCCATGACCATTTCATCAGCCCCACCCTCACCATTTGATGTGCGGGCTCCTCCCTGGCACCGGCACCCACACCACTGGCTCTTTTTCCAACTACAAGCCTACTTACCACTTATGCCTGAGTTTCTGCATTGTCTTACTCTATTCTGTGTTCCCTATCCCTTTCCCTTGAAGTTCAAATGCTAATGTCCAGTCTGTTTCTTTACCAAACCCTAGCTCAGCCCTTCTGACCACCAGCATTGGCTGGAAGCCTTAAGCCTTGAGAAAGGGGCAGCATTGCAGGTGGGGTTTCCTCTGGGGGACCTAGGAGGGCCATGTTCAGTTTCTCCCTTGGCTTCTGATCCAGGGATGGGGACCAGAAGCCCAGGACAGGAGAGAGTCACTATCTTTTGCCTCCTTCCTGGTTTCTGCTCCTCATTCTAGCAAAGCTATGAAGAAGGTGGGGTATAGACAGTAAGGGTGATCAACACTGCTGGCTGAATAAGGGCAACCTTGTTGATCAAATACATTTCTCTGCCATCAGAAACATAAACCCATTTGTTTCCAGAAGAAATATTAAAGGGGTTGATTCAGCATGTGGTGAAGTAGTAGAAATATGAGTTTGGTGAGCATCTCACGAATGGGGGTGAGATTTGATTCCAAGTTCAATGTGCAGAAAGATGCATTTGGCTCAAGGCTGGGCTGAGCCAGAATTAGACTGACTGGTACAGATGCTATTTCAGCATTAGGATCACATATGCGCAAAGATACAGATGTGAAATTAGAGATATTTCTTTTTAAAAAATTTTTTTTGCATTTATTTATCTTTGAGACACAGAGCACAAATGGGGAGGCAGAGAGAGAGAGAGACAGAGAGAGAGAGAGAGACAGAGAGAGACAGAGAGAGAGAGACAGAGAGACAGAATCCAAAGCAGGCTCCAGGCTCTGAGCTGTCAGTACAGAGCCTGACACAGGGCTTGAACTCACAAACCGTGAGTGAGATCATGACCTGAGCCAAAGTTGGACACTTAACCGACTGAGCCACCCAGGCTCCCCTAGAGATATTTCTTTAAATCTTGCTTCAGTTGTCTCACCTTTTTCAATCTGGTATTCTTTAACACTATGGTGATAGTTGATAATGTCAGGTTTGGTTATTTTGGTAAGGACTTTTTTTCTCTTTTTTCTATGAGAAAGAATCCAAATGGAAAATGTATGGCTTTGATCTGATTACAGTGTAAATCTTGTTTGGATCAGGAGTCTGGTGATCAAGGATCTTAGGCTCAAGGTGGGTTGGGGGAAGACTGCATTCCTGCCTCTACCCCTCCAGCAAGTAGCCCCCCTCCCTAAAAGAGGTCCCTTGAACGTTTAACTTACAAACCTTAGTACATGTAAAAAAAAAATCAAAATTTTAAACTCTCTCTTTTCTCTAAAATATAATAACGGGCAGGTTAAAGACTCAAGTCTTTAAATGGGTACATGTTAAGATCCGTCTGAAAAGTAATCCCCATTTCAGAGCAGCCAAGGGCAGACTTTTCGTTCATTAAGAATGGGCTGAATACTTTCTTATTCAAAATAATTCCAACTGTTTGGCAATAAAAAGGAACTTTAAAAATATTTTCCACACTGAAGAGTGTCTTGGATTTAGCCTTTCTGACTTTCCTAGAACACATTTGATGGGGAATCTGAGGGAAACTTGCCCTTTGTTCAGCTATTTTGTTGTTTTATGGCCAGTCAAAATCATTAATGCAAAGTCAATGCAAAGCCTTGAAAGATGATATTACCAAAGATAAAATATTTCCAGAATCACTCTTCAGCCTAAGTTAAAACTTAAGGCTTAATTGACCTCTTTCCAACATGTTTTATGGCATGAGGTGTGTGATTCCAACTTGCACAGTAAAAACTGTCCCTTCCAGCATCTGCTTGTCTCTTACAATCTACAAAGACTGACACAGAGTTCAAAGAAAGCCTATGATACCACCTTACCAATCTGATCACACTAAAGTTCAAATGTGTTGAAAGAAAATTAAAAGATTGGTCAGTTGGTCTGTCTGTCTACCTACTTATGTACACACCTACCCATCTATCCATCCATCCACGCACTCATCCGTCCATCCATCCATCCATCCATCCATCCATCCATCCATCCATCCAACTTTACATGAGAATTGTCTGGAAATGGGATCAAACTGTGATATATATTATCAAAAACGTATACATGATCAAAACCACATTATCCATGCTTTGTTTAGCCATATTGTTATCTCAGATGGAATTTAAGAATATGTGACTAGAATACATCTTTTGGTTATCTGGGGGTTGGCGAGGACTGTGATGTGTGGTATTGAGTCACAAATACCATGGAGGGAAAGGCACCAATTGGGTGGTGGACAAGGCACAGAGGCCCTGTTGGTGGGTTCAGCACTGGCGACAGCCCAGGCACCCACCTGTGACCACTCAGATGCCTCCCAGATGGACAGGCAGTCCTGGCCTTCACAGCTCTGCACTGGTGCTGGCCGGGGGCCCGGGCAATAGAGGGGCCGCGTGGTGACATGTGTGCCGTTCTGCAGCTGGTACACGCAGGTCACCTCCCGATGCTGGATGCCCTTCTCACAGGTCGCTGAGCAGGGGCTCCATGGGCCTGCCACCCACCTGTCCAGGAGGAGGAAAGACAGTGAAAAAATAACTGGGTGGAAAGGCCAGTTTCCCCGGAGGGCCTTCTGGACAGATCACGGCATCTTGGGTCTGTAGTGTGAGAGAGGGAGATAGACTCAAAGAGCTTTGCAATCAACTTTAGAAATAATTCTGAAGTATTAGGGCAGAGGAAGCCACATGAGTTGAGTAGTTCAATAGCTTATTCAAAACAGAAATCCTTCTGCGCACAACACCTCTATGGCTGATTCAATTATTGCTCCCAAGTGGTCACTCTCCTTGTAGCAGGATTCCATATCCCACCCACTGTCTATGACGTGCTTTGTTCAATGGGGTGTGAGTGGACATGAAGCTGGCCATGTCCCAGCAGAAGCTTTGAGTGTGATTATGTGGTTTGGCTCTGGTTCTCCTTGTTTCCTGCCCTCTGCCATGAGAGCAGCAGGTCCCAGTACAGGGGATGCTCCAACAGCTGAGCTCGTAATAACGTGACACCATTCGTTACAAGCCACTGAGATACCGGGCTCGTTTGTCACTGCAACAAAACCAGACTGGTATAGCCTATGACAAGGGACACTCCAGGGCCAGCTTGAACACACCAGGACCAGGTACCCCCTGCTTTTCAAAAAGTGGCTAGCCCTTTTGGGTGGGGACTGTCACTCTTGAGGAGGCAACTTGTGGGCTGTGACAGAACTGAGCTGTTGCAAGTGCTCGACTAGAACTTGGCCTACCTGCCTTATCTTTCAATGACCCCGGTTCCGCCATGGCTCCTGTTGGCCTTGTGGTGTTGGAAGGAAGCTGAGCAGTTGTAAATCATGATTTCTCAGGACACTGAGTGGGGCTTTGAATGGCCTTTTGGAGACACAAAAGGACTCTCTCCTGTTTGGTCCCTGCATGAGCCTCAAGTCCACCTAGCTCCCAGGAGCTCCCATATTGACAGAATGGCTCAATCTATGGCCATGTCTGATAAACACACTCCTCTTCATCATCATCGAGTCCTAAGTTGCTCAAACCAAATCTGATTATGCTATCCTATTGTTTAGAAATAACAGCAGTGTTGGGCACCTGGGTGGTTCAGTCGGTTAAGCGTCCCACTCTTGATTTCAGCTCAGGTCATGATCTCAAGGTTCGTGAGATCGGGCCCCGTGTCAAGCTCTGTGCTGACAGTGCAGAGCCTGCTTGAGATTTTCTCTCTTCCTCTCTCTCTGCCTCTCCTTCATTCATGCTCTCTATCTAAATAAAACACTTAAAAAAAACCCTAAAATATATCAGCAGTGCCTTTCCACAGGCAGGTCCTTGAGGGGACACTGGATGGTGCCACCCCCCCCCCCCAATTCTTCTCCAGTTCTAGCTTACTTGTTCATTCACCCATCCTAGCATGGCACATTCACTGAGGGCTTCCCATGTGCTGGGCACTGTCCTAGGTTCTGATGATGAGGCAGTGAACAAGACAAGGCCCTGCCCTACAAATCTTACCATCCTAATGGGGACAGAAAGTAAGTCAACAAATGTATACAATAGAATATAACACAGTACACTATATATAACATATATCATATATGAATAGAGGAGATGCCACATGGTAGTAAGTGCTTCAGAGAAAAGTAGGGCAGTGTAGGGAAGGTCAGGGGAGGAGGAGGGGGGTGAGCACACAAGTTGGCGGGGACAGCCTCACTCATAAGCTGATGTGTGAGCAGAGCCTGGAAGGAAGCGAGAGAGTAAGCAGAGAAGACTTCCAGGCAGAGGGCACGGTGGGTGCAAAGGCCCTGGGGAGGAGTGTGCTGGCAGGGTTGAGGAGCAGCAAGGAGTCCAGAGTGGCTGGAGAAGGGGGGAGGAGGGAGGAGCGGAGAGAGGGGCATGAGAAGGCACAGGGGGGAGATTCTACAGGCCATGGCTGGCCACTGTGGCTCTTGTTTGAATAAGATGCAGTCCCAGGGGGTTTGGAGACAGGAGTGACATGCCCTGCAGGGCAGCAGCAAGGAGACCAGGGAGGAGGCCACTGCACCATTCCAGGCAGGGGATGAGGGTAACTTGTACCAGCTAGGGGTAGTGGTAGTGGTTGGGGTAAATGTTGAGAAGAGGGAGCTCCCCGGGCCCCTCCCTCCACTGCTCCTCCTCATCCCTTAGGGCAAGCTCAGGCCACCTCCTCTGACTTTCAGTCCCCTTGGAAGAGCTCATCACTGTCCTCTATGCCCCCAGGGAATAAATCCAGGGAAGCTTCTCTTCCCAGACCCCTTGCATAAACTGCAGGATGGAAAGGGATGCAAAGGAGTGTGTGTACCCTGGGGTGTGAGGACAAGTGACATGTTGCCTGTAAGTTGCTTACAGCAGCACCTGGCACACATCAGCCCTTATAACTTGTAGCAATTGTTATTCCTTATCTTCTCGGCAGGAGAAGATGAAGTCCCAGAGGGCAGTGAGCAAATCTTGCCCCCATTTCAGCACCTGACAACTATTTAAACGACACTGTAAGAACTAAACCCAATCCTTCCCATTTCTCCTTGTTCTGGTCTTTGGAGTGACATGATTACCTTCCTAAATATTTGAAGATGGCTCTGTTGTTCCCCTTGTAAGTTTTCTCTTATCCCGATCAAAATAATTTGCATGTGGCAGATCTGAATCCTTTCCCTTCTAATTCTCTAATCAGTCACTACTGTTCTCCAAATGGATTGCTTTGTCATGGACAAAATGGCCCAGATGGGGTCTGAAAGCAGCAGGAGAGAATGTGATGATTTTCTCTCTCTTTAAGTGGAGGCTCCATGTTTATTAATGCAGCTCAGCTCCTTGCCATTTCTATTTTCCAAACAAAATAGAACTTAGAGGACTCTCAGGCAGATCCCCTTTGTCCTGACCTTTTGCAACTGACTTTGTGAATACAAACGTCAGGCTTTAGGCTGATGACACCTGCTGTTGTGCTGACCCCAGCTGTGAACAGAGCTGTGTCCCCCTCCTGTCTTTTGTATTTGCTGTGCTTCCTGGAGGCCACCCCTGGGAACTGGGACCACTGCGTCATACTCATGAGAATGTCACCTGCAGGCTCTTGGCCAGAGGGTGCCGGTGTCTCCATCCCTGGGCACACAACCAGAGCATGTGCTCTAGGAAATATGCAAATTGACTCTGATCCACACAAAGGTCCATCTGGGCAGCCAAGGCGATGGGGAAGAGCTGGGAGAGGTTCAGCAGTCCCGCCTCAGACGTCTCCTATGCCCCCTGTTCTATCACTGACTGGAAGAGTCAGACCCAAGGGGATCAGATTCTTATAGAGCTGTGAGGGATTGCCAATCTTCCCCGTTCCTCCTTCCTTTGCTTCTGGTGTCTCTTGTGCATTTTGGGTGCTTTGCAGCAGTATGACAGAATGGAAAACAGCCTATGCGTCCCTCCTCCCCTTTCCAGAAGAACCCTTTGACCCCCTGCAATGACCCCTGTTGCTGTTGCCCAGTCTGGCAGAGGAATGGGTGACAGAGCTCCACACATGTAGACATGCATGAAACTGATCTATGGTCAGCCCTGCTCCTTAACTGGAGGTGGGGAGTTCTCTGTCCCCTGGGGCTGTGTAAAAGCGCTGTCCCTGCTCCTGTCCTTGGGGTGATAGTTACTGTCAGATGTACTGAGGATCTGCTGAGATTCAAAACAAGCTCTGTCTGAGGCCAAGGCACCCTTCCAAACCTCCTGTGGCTCTCACAGATGACCCCACACCTGCAAGTTACACGTGGGGCAGCTCATGGCACATTCCCATCTCCTTGCCCCTCCACCCTTCCTTCTCCCCTCCCACTTCCCAGCTCCGCACAGGGATCTGGTTACCCAGACGCAGCCATGGCACAACACCTCAGGAGAACGTACAACAAAATATCATTCAGCCTTAAAAAGGAAGGAGATTCGAAAACACACTACAATATGGAGGAGCCATGGGGACATCATGCTGAGTGAAATAAGCCAGTCAGAGAAGGACAAGTCGTGAAGGACTCCACTTACATGAGGTAACTGGAGTAGATTCATAGAGACAGAAAGTAAGATGGTGGCCATCAGGTGGGAAGGAATGGGGAGCTAGTGTTTAAGGGGGTACAGAGCTGTACGTGAGCAGGAGGTGGGGTTCTGGAGACAGACGGTAGTAATGGGCACTCAGTGTGAATGTGCCTAATGCCACTTAAACTGTACACTTAACCAGGGTTGAGGTGGTAAATGTTATGTGTATTTTCATCACAATTGAATTTAAAAAATTTTAATATATGTTATCATCAAGTCAGCTAACATACAGTGAATACAGTGTGCTCCTGGTTTTGGGGGTAGATTCCTGTGATTCATTGCTTACATACAACACCCAGTGTTCATCCCAACAAAGTGCCCAACTAGACAGAGAGTGAGAAGGGAAGGGGCAGAGAGAGGAAGAGAGAGAATTCCAAGAAGGCTCTGTGCTTGATCTTGCGAACCATGAGATCACGACCTGAGCGAAGAGCCGGGAGCTCCTTCAGAATTTAAGGAAGCGATGGTTAGGAACAGGAAGTAAGTGAGAGAAGGACAAGGAAGTGAAGTGTTCTCAAGTCCCAGGGAGGCCATGATGAGCCGGTGAGAAAGGCTGGTGCTCAGCTCTGTGCAGACATCAGGTAACCGCGGAGCATCCCTGAAGGGCATCTTCACCGAGCGCCTGTTGCCCCACCTGAGACGCGTGCCCAAGACGCGTGCCCAACCAGCTCCAGGAGAGCTGTTGCCCCACATAGGCACGCAAGTTGCAGGGGATTGGAGCTATTTTTCAGCTAGACTTGTTTTTGCTCATCTTGACAAACAGCCACATTCCCTCCGTGAGGCCGGGGGAGCAAAAGATGACTTTCTGGAAACTTTGTTGCTGGTGGCTGAAAGAAACCATTTTACCAGCAGCCAGGAAGTCTGCAGGAGGGTCCTCTGTGGGAGAGGAACATCATGCAAGTAAACATCAGAGTGAAGTCCCACTAATCCCGAGTCCAGGAATGGGAGAAAGGAACTGTGATTCCGTAAAACAATTCATATTA